GGTTTTTTGCTATAGGGCGCGTGTGCTCGCCAGACAGACAGAGAGACATAGAGACAGAAAGCGAGAAATCACCCCCCAGAAGGGATGGTCACGCTGCAATCCCTTCTCCTCCATTCTCCTCTCGGGATCTTGGGCACGTACGCACACACGCCCAGCGTGAGTTTTAAGCCACCAGGTCTGGGACGCGAACCGCGGTCGACTACTTGGGAGTCCAGCTACATAGCCATTACGCTAACTGCTGGTTCCCCTCCTTGTGGAATTTTGGCATGCATATACATGCACCCAGCTTGATTTTCTTTCTTTTTTTTTTAATAATTGTTTATTTAGTTAATTCCATTATTACTTTTTAAATTTGACCAGAGAGAGACAGAGAGAGATAAAAGGAAAGTGAGAAAGCAAGCCACCAGGTCCAGGACCCAAACCACTGTCAGCCATGTGGGAATCCAGCACCTTTAGCCACCATGCCACCTGCTGGCCCCACCCAGCTTGATTTTCAAGCCACCAGGTCTAAAACATGAACTGTAATCAGACACGTGGGAGTCTAGCACCTTAACCACCATACCACCTACTGGCCCAGAAATGAATTCTTTTATTAAAGAGAGATTTTTGCTAATAGGGCGCGTGTGCTCACTGGAGAGACAGAGAGAAAGTGAAAAATAACCCCCAGGGGGATGGCCATGCCACAGTCCCTTCTTCTCTAGTCTCCTCCTGGGATCTTGGGTTGCATGCACACACACCTAGTGTGAGTTGCAAGCCTCTGGGTCCAGTACTTGAACCACAGTTAGTCATGTGGGAGTCAAGCACCTTAACCTTTATGCCACCTCTGACCCCAGTAATGAAATGTCTAATAGGAAAAAACAAACTTTTATCAAGTGCGTAGTATATGCCAGGTCAGGTTCTTTTCAGGTATGTAGGTTCAGTCAGTTCTCCCAATAACCCTGGGAGGCTGAGTATGATTACACCCATTTCATAGATGAGGAATGAAGGGAAGACGGTACGTTCCATGAACATAAGGTCACAATGTAAGGGGTAAGCTGTCTTATTTATAGGCCTGCGTTCTTTCTGTTCCAGAAGACTATGACTATAGATTTGTAAAAGGGCAGGTTGGCTAGACTAGGGAGTTTCATTCCTTTCCTAGTTCAGGTGAATGTGATAGGGTAAGATCCAAATCCATCTTTGTGTTGTTCATACACTTTGAGGAGTGGAGAAGGTGAAGGGAAAGGGAAGAGAAGGAAGAAAAGGGTTAGTTATTTGAATGAAGATGGGAGAGTTCCCAAGACAAGTAGAATATTTTAAAAGGCCAAGACACTAAGATGCAAAAAAGCAATGAAATCAGCATATGTTGATGTAGAGACACCTTCACAATATCCATTAACCTATCGGAATGGATACTATTGTTGCCAAGATCTGCTGATGAAGTCATGTTATAAAGGAATATGAGCTTACTGAGCTTTCTGGAAGGACACTTTCATATAGATGTAACCAGACATTTCTGCATAGCCATCCTTCTGCAGCTTTTCTAACCTTTTTATTTTTTTTTCTCCAGCTTCTAGAAACCAAGACTCCCTTGGGAAAACCAAGACAGTTCAACACAGGCTGCTTTCTAGGTAACAAGGTTCCTGGTTTTTCACTTCATACTTATCGAGGGGCTCCCCAAAGTCATTTTATCTTCAGCATCTAGTCCAAGACCTTGCCCATGGTAATATGCATCTTGTGAGCTGAATTGAAAACTTACTCTTCTCCTACCTATAACTCATCTCTTAAATGATATTTCTTTTTTTTTTTTTTTAAGAGGTTTTTGGTATAGGGCGCGTGCGCTCGCCAGACAGACAGACAGAGAGACAGAAAGCGAGAAATCACCCCCCAGGGGGGATGGCCACGCCACAATCCCTTCTCCTCCATTCTCCTCTCGGGATCTTGGGCCCTCACGTACACGCGCCCGGCGTGAGTTTTAAGCCGCCGGGTCCGGGACATGAACCACGGTCGACTACATGGGAGTCCAGCGACATAGCCATTACGCTAACTGCTGGTCCCTTTAATGATATTTCTTGATTGCATGTTAATAAACAGTATAGTAGAGACACAGGGATGGAAGGATGTTTATAGTATATGGGCTCAGATTCAATTCTGCCTCTGCCATTTACTCATTGTGTGGTTTTGAAAAAGAGAGTGATGAGGGGGACAGTAAATGGTGTGGTAGTTGGGGTGCTGAACTCCCCCACATGGCCAACCACAGTTCGAGT